ATAGTTTGGTAAGAATATCTTTTAATAAAAATTAAAAAATTTCAATAAATATGCATATACGAGGGTGAAAGATAAAAATTTGAAATGGAAGGTGAGGGATCGAACTCAACTTTAAGGGATTGGGAATGTACTTATTAAGGTAATTAATGTCACTTAGATCAAAAGGGTCAAATATATATATAAAAAAAAAGATAAAAATTTATTAGTTTTTATTATATAATTTAAAATATAAAAAAAGAATTGCAATAATTCTAAATGTTTTCATGGAAGTCTCAATCTATATTCCGAAGTACTAGCTGGCAGGTATTCCCAAATTTTAATTAGGCAAGGACGATTGATATTGACATTATTAATTACAGGGCCTTCACTCCAGGTTAATTGTCTTATTCCAATTCTTGTCCCCAAGACAAATTCTAGCAATTACAAAAGCAAAGGGTAATTTGTTGCATGAGTTTAAACCCAGGATCAAATGCCACTGCCATGCCACTCGAAAAGTCCTTGTTTAATTATCAGGCAAGGCATGATATGGAATTCACTATCCCAATTCTTTTATCTTTATATGTAACAATTGTAATAGATTTTAACTTAAAAATTATATTTATTGATACATAAATATTGTTTTGTAAGTAATCAAAATTTAAAGTTAAAGCTTTTAAATGCACAAAATCAATATAGATAGTGGGATTTTAATATCATTGAGAAAATATTAATATTAATCAAGGTATACTAAAACTGATTTAAAGATATTTTAACAGTAAATATAAAAAACTATAATAGATTTATTGGGTTATTGGTGAAATTATTGATCAAAATGATCTTTTTTTAATGTTTATTGATCAAAATGGTTGACATCAATATTCAGTCAAATGGGTATATAATTTGAGTTTCACATTTTTCTAATGTCTTGGGCATATAATTCTAAGTTTCATTCCCTTCTGTAATAATATTTTAAATCCTTCGACAGAAATGCTTGTAAATACAGAAACATCCACGAGAGCAACTTGGAAATGACATTCGATGACACTTTTACCAAAAAGATTCAACTTTGTCCAGATGATTCCAAAGGGAGAGCTTTCATCTCCACCAGATATTCCTATTCCTCCGCGTTATTGCCAAATTCCAATCACGCAGTTAATTAGCTAGCTTGCATCCACTCTTCTTTAATTAATTCATCATTGCCGCTCTCTCTTCCATTTCACTTTCCTTTAATTAATTCATCATTGCCCCTCTCTCCTCCATTTCATTCTATAAATAGCAGCTCTCTCCATCCTTCTAATCATCCTAGCAACAACAAACGTAAGCAAAAAAAAACACCATAGCCTCTGCTTACCTCTTAATTAGTCATGGCCATCTCCAAGTTTTTCATTGCTTCTCTTCTTATCTCTCTCTTGCTTCTCCAATTTGCCGTGGCTGATGAGACCAGAGCAAAGCAAATTGGTAATTAATCAATTATCTAATAAACTTTTTCATTGCAAGTTTCAATAGTGCAACCCTCAACTTTAGTACTCAAAGTTAAAGTGTCATTGACATTATTCTCTTATTTAGTTAAAAGAGTTTTTGTTCTGTAATTCGATCAAAGTATAATAAATTGTAAAAGATGAATTATGAGGGGTTACCTCAATATTAAGGGTTTATATTTATCTAATAGTTCGTATTATACAGTTTAAATTTATACTGAACTATATTTGATTGTTAAAAAAAGTTGTGGTATATTTGTATTTATGATCTTACTTGATAAATAAATGTGTTTGATTTTTTCAGACTGCGGTGCGGCTTGTGATGTTAGGTGTTCAAAATCCTCCAGGCCGAACCTGTGCAAGAGGGCATGTGGAACTTGCTGTGCGCGTTGCAACTGTGTTCCTCCCGGGACTTCCGGTAACTATGAAGCCTGCCCCTGCTATGCCAACGAAACCACCCACGGTGGCAAACCCAAGTGTCCTTGAAGTTCAACCCAATCTAGCATATCTTCTATTATTATTTGTGATAATTAAGTTTGTTTTCTACCCAAAAAAAAAAGAAGTTTGTTATATGGTATTAAATTCAAAGCGATCAATAAATAAAGGAAGGTGACACTATGTAGGTGTCATTGGTATGGTTGATCTGAGAATTCTTTCTTGTATAGAGAAAATATCAAAATAATTACTCCTGTTTAGCTTTAATAACTTTATTTTTTTATTTAAAAATAAAGATAAAATTATTTATATATTGATAAAATTTTATATTTGTTTTTACTTAAATATCACTTAAAATAAAACTTTTTATTTAATTAATAAAGTAGAAATTCAATTACATAAAAGTTTTATATATTATATTTATATAAAATGTAAACTATTCATCTTTCTACTTTTAATGATTAAAATTTATTCACATTTATTAAAGATAATTATATTTTTCATATACAAAGTAATAACAAATTTTAATTATTGAAAGTGAAGAAATGAATTGTTAAAATTTTTGTAAGTGTGATATGTAAAATTTATATGTAAATAGATCCCTCTTCAAATAAATGTTGTAATTATTTTTAAATAAAAATAAATGTATTAAATGATATCTTAAAAATAAATAATAAATAATTAAATTTAAATATTTCAAATTAGAAACTAAATCTACTAATATTGAACGATTAAGTATAAGACTTTCTATTGTTGAAAATTTATCAATAATAAAAAGATTTATAAAAAATAAAAATATTTTACATAATTTAAATTGAATCACACTGTACAATTAAACTATTGAATGAGTGTAAACCTTCCAAATGGGCTGTCTCTCAACTAAACTGTTCTAAATTTGTAATATGGACTGCATAACCCAGAACTTTATAGAAAATGTGCTAATGTGTTGGGGCTTATAGCCCATTAGAAACTAGGCTCCGCTCTGGGTTTCTCTTTTCGATTAGGCTCATAATGCTCCTTTTTTGAGCAGCGGCCCATAATGCTTCTAAATTGGGGCTTTTGTGTTAAACTCTGGCCTTAAGTGCTTGGGCGCTTATTGAAAATGAAGAGGCCCATTTCAGAGGAGCTGATGGTTGCTCTAATCTGAGGCGAGATGAAAGCAAAATGGATCTGGAAAGGCCGAAGGTATGTGGTTCTTAAATAAAGCTCATAACTTGCCAATTGATGAACTCACCACCAAGCCCATTTGGGTGCATTAATAGGTAAATATCATTTTTATAAATTAAATACGCACTCAAAAAATGATTAATTTTGAGGTGCATATAAGTTAATTTAAAAATATTTTAATCATTCAATTTTTTTTTTTTTTTAAAAAGGAACTCACCGCAAAATTATATTGTATATTTGATACATTGAATTTATTACACTTTTCAAAAAGAGATGGTCCTATTTATTTGTTAATTTTTATTTTAAACATGATATTATAAAAAAAAAGTAAAAATTAAAATGTCATAACATTTTTAATATTAAAATATTTAATCAAATTATATTATGGGTAAAATTTAAATGAGACCTACATTATATTTCAATGTGAAGTTATTGCCACGCTCTCAATAAGTAATGTTACATATTATTAGTGTAACTCACTATCATACCATGTCATTACAAATTTTTTTGAAATTTTATACTTTCTATTTCTTAAATGAATTAAAATGTATAATAATCAACTAAAAAAAAGTGTGATATTAATAATTAAAAGTGTAATAATAATATCACTCTATATCTTACCTATCTTTTTTTCTTTTTCTAAACAAAGTGTCAGAAGAGGAGGGATTGCACTTTTAAGGTGATCCGAAAGCCACTTGACCCAAAGGGCAAAGTGCCTATATCTTACCTATCTTGTAATTATTATTAAATATTTTGATATTTTTTATACTAAAATGTTATGCTTTTCGGCAACCTCTATTAAAGCATTAATTATTTGATTATTAAAAATGACACATTCTCAACTTCCTTTATGAATAAGAGTAAGGGTTTTCTAACATTTGCATTTAGGATATAAATTAAATCTCATTAATTATAATATTTATAATTAATTTGACATAAATTTTTGTACATGATTTAAATAAAATATAATATAAAATGCAAACGTTGTTAAAAAAAATGTGAATTGAATTTGAGGTAGTATTAAATTCGAAACCAAACCCCAATTCAAGGCATATGAGAGGATAAATTGGTAACCTAAATCTTAAATATTCCTATAAGGAAGGTCACTAAATGAGTTTTTTTAACTCATGTGAAGTTCTTCGGCCATATATTATCTGAAGGTACGTTTGGGATTACTATGAAACGTTGTGATTGTAGTTGTAGTTGTATTTATATTGAATTATATTGTGCTATAATTATGATTGAAAATTATTTTGATATTTGATTATTTATTTCTTAAAAAGTTACAATCACAAAACTCTAAAATGAGACTTTTGGTTTTATATATAAAATTACTATACATCTAATGTGATTTTCTATAACTTAAAAAAAAATAGTTTAAAAAAAATTATCAAACACATATATATAAAAATACTGTATAATTACAAAAAAAAAACTCTCAACCATGGTCTCAAAAGCATACTGAGAATGATTCTAAGCATTTTAACTTTTTTTTATTATCTCATAAATATATAACATAAAATGTTAATTAAAATTAATATAAATATATTCCTTATAAAAAATAGTAAATATATTAAATAGAATCTATATTTTTTTAATAAAATATAAATCCACTTATATGTAAATTTTATACACTATATTTATATAAAATCTAAATAATTTATTTCTCTATTTTTAATAATTAAGATTTATACATATTTATTAAAAATAATTATTTTTTACCTAAAAAATATGATAAATATCAATCATAAAAAATTAATAAATAAATAATTAAAATTTTATATAATTATAATATATAAAATTTATATGTAAATAAATATTTTCTTCATGTAATATTAAAAAAAAAAAAAAAAAAACCCTGCTGCAATAGTTAATGCTCGGCACCATTAGACAAAGCCTCACTCAGCTAAATTGAAACGCAAGGAGTAAACACAACCCCACATTTAAACCAAAGGGCCAGCCTGTGTCCGTCCTCATACCCACCAACTCTGAAAATAGGAGAGCCACACGTACGCAATCTTTTAATTCTTCCAACAATGGTGCCCATCTCCTCCCATACCCTTTTAGCTTCAGTCTTCATTTCCACTCTTCATCTTCCTCCTTGTTGACTCTCATCCAGCGGTAGAATCAAGATTCCCTAGCTCGATCGCTTTCAGAAATAATATTAAAAGGTAACATTAATTGTAGATTTAATTACAATGGCTTTTCTCTGGATTTTGCAGGTGATCACAAATATGGGAGAGGATCAGAGTTCTGCTTTGAGTACAAAAATTGATTGTGATCAAGCTTGTGATGTTAGATGTCAATTATCATATCATATATCTAGGCCAAATCTGTGCAAGAGGGCATGCAGTTGCAGTGCATGCTGTGCTCGTTGCAATTGGGTTCCTGCAGGCACTTTATGGTAACTATGAAACATGTCTTTGTTACCGCGACATGAAGAGCCATGGCAGCCAGGGCAAGAGCCCCTAAATCAAGCAACATCAGACTTTGATTCCCGAATGGAAAATTGATTGGGATCAAGCTAGTGATGTTAGATGTCACCTTTCACCTTTTTGACCTTAGATGGAAAGAATAATCCATGTGAAAACTTTAGTAAATTCTGAGTAAGCATATAATTCTGCTTGTATTGAAGCAATCTAAGATTCTAATTCCATCCGAAAATTATGGCGTCGTAATATTTCTGAATTTTCAGATAGCTTAACAAATTTTCTTGATTGTTGTTTCCATTAAAGATGTATCAATTTTAATCCAGAAA